TTCTATACGGGAATAAAGCATCGGACAACTCGCACTCGCTATAACAAGTGGGACTCGCTAGGTCAGTCTTTTATGGCCAAATTGTTCTGCTTTTGGACAGGGAGAAAGCTCATTACACTCTCTGATGATAAAATGTATTTTAAATGTGTGTGATAAATCTTTTTCAGAGGGTTTAAGATGGGAATAGTCTATTACTAAACAATGATGTAACAATTGAACCACGAATAAAGTCCGTTATGAACACACGCGCAACCGTGTATCTCTGATGTTTGCGGCAAGTCTCGTCAGACTGTCTGGTTTCTTATCTAACACAACCAATACGCCATATAATCAGTCTTTGGCAAGTTGTCCGATGACATTTTTTTTTCGTGAAACACCACCAATCCATTACACAGCATCGGGGTATATATATATATATATATATATATATATATATATATATATAAAGCAGAGACTGTATTTTTGGAGAGTCTGACGCTGGCGTTGACACTTACTTAAAGAAGCATAATACTAAAAAAGTAACTCGAGAGTAATTCCAAATACGTGTCAGTAATGTATGCTATGAACGTTCGGCGTGTCTGTGCATTTTCACATATTTGCAACTGCGTTGTTATTTAGACTTCTAGTGAGTTGATAAAAAAAACTGATGGAGTGAATATATTAGACATTATGAGTTGTAGTGCAACCACCGCGTTTCAGTGAAACATGCGTCCTAATATTCTGACTTAATCAGTTTTCACGCATAGCGTTTTTCGCGTATTGTAATAGCGTCAAAACCATTTATAGAATTCTAATCGTCATCTCTGTAGATGTGATGACACACCGGGATGTCACGTGATGGTATTTAGAAAAATGAATCATAAGGTATCAGTTATGAAATAAGAAACTGACATACATAGGTCGCGGGGTTTTATCTTTGGCGCGTGTATTTGCTAGACAATTATCACAATTCGAATTATGCATGGTATATTGCTTCCCGCATCTATAAGACAGTTATATAAAATAGCATAATAATTTGATCGCGTAACCTTGTTTGCAAAAATATTGATGTCCTGGATCATGCATAATTAATATGTCTGGCCTCGAACTGAATATATAAATATAAGCACAAAAACGTGTTTTTATTTATGAAAGTTATTTCTTTAGAACAATATACTTTCAACAACCCCACCACATCGACCAGCCAGAGTGATTGACAGCATTTATATTCATATTATCGGGAGCCAATTTAGGCGTACTTGTATTTGTACGCCTCATGGTAAAATGTTGAGGTTATACGGCGAATGGTTTCAGAGAAAATTATGAGGCGCACTCGCTGACATGCTGTACTGGGCGGTACAGTGAGAACTATCCAGTCGGGAGTGGACTCTTTATCCTCTCATGGTGTAATACTTTTAATTTACAACGTAAAGTCTCAGTATAGAGTTCTTAAATCAGTAATTCATCGCACGTAGCAGTCATCAAGTCTGTCCTACCCATTTAATACTGTTCTCTGAGAGAACATCCACGCCACAATGTAAAGTTACGGGTCACAGCAAAGAGCAACACCGTCGAGTTTTCCATTGTGAAACCGTTGTGAACAACGATATATAGTGTATGTTTATATAGTTTGTTTTTCTCTATCGTATTTTTCTTTCGAGATCATAAGAACAAACAACTGCGTGAATACAAATACAGAGGTTTAGATTATATCAGACATACCCGTTATATAGTGAAGGGTGTTCTTTGTTTAATGTTCGGTATTGCTTTTTAGACTAGTTTGTACTCAGTGTAACTTTATTTGTACACCATAAATAAACACATGTGAGATTAAGTGCTACTTTTACAAGATGGTTCGGGTATAACAGGACGTGTTTACGTAATCCAAGTGAACAAATTATACCCTTTAACAAAGAAGGAAGCAGACAAAACTAAACACATTACGTCAACGATATTATTATTATTATTCTGTAACGATCACAATTGTTTCCTGTTTCACTTCTGAATCTTTACTCCGGGACAAAAACAGATTCTTTGCAACTTGTTCTCCCGCTTAAAACTCTTGGGTTGGGAGCTGAACATTTCAAAGTTACAAAATTATCAACTCGAGTTGCATATATTGCACACATTGTCCGGATTTTGTTGTGGCGATAATGTTAAACCTCGAAATTCTGGTTTTCTTTCGCATTTCAACGAGATAGTCGATTGCCTTACAAACACAAGTCTTGTACATATACACATTAGTTAAATGACCATTATTATTATTATTATTATTATTATTATTATTATTATTATTATTATTATTATTATTATTATTATTATTATTATTATTATTATTATTATTATTATTATTATTATTATTATTATTATTATTATCAATACATTTAAATCATCACAACAATTTGAAATAGACATCAACATTGTGTTCAATTAAACATTTCAGGGATTATATATACATGTATATATATTCGAAGCAATTCGCAAATGCTGCGGACTCGCGTAGTGAATTATCCCAAATATTAGTGCCTCTGTATTTAAGACATCGTCACGGTCTGTGTCAGGATATATACAATGTCAGACCGCGCAACTCTAGAATGGACGCTATTTAAAGCTACTGTAAAACATGTCTTTTTCGCGAGCATGTCTTTTTCGCGAATTTAGCGAGAGAACTGATTCGCTATTTCAAGATGTCGCTAAAAATGAATGACTTTATTATCAATTCAAAATGACCGCCAAACAAAGACATCAACAATTACAAGAGAGATTCGCTAAATCAACATTTCGCTATTACGTCATTTTACCACAATTCGCTATAATTGCATGCCGCTTTTTCAACATGTTTTACAGTATTTAAAGCGGGGGAGTCGTTGCCTGCGCATGCGTCAGATGGCCATAGCGTGTCATTGTTTGCAAACAAGCGTCTACGCATGAGCCTTTGCGTTTTTAGCATGTGTTGTTATCGTCGCTTCGGACTCAGTTCCTGCGCGTGCGCAGGTGACGACCCTCCCTCTTTAATGCTAATACAATATATGAAATATATGCAATATATAAAAAATAATGTTGGTATCGCACTACGTCGTTTAGTTATCACGTTTACCGCGTCATTCAACACTGGAAGCGTTGCAGTCGCCGCGTTACCGGACGATCCGTAATGAGTCCCACACGGCGTATGAAACCCCTCCAGCTTTAAATCAGATGGTGCTAATTAGAATGTACTTTGTAAAAGTAACACAGCTTCAGTAAAAATTTCAGTTTTTTTTAAAGGCAATCAAAGTTTTGATCATTTCTGAGGGGTTTTTGGGGGTAATATTACAATTCAGCAGATGTTAACACGGTTACAATACACTATCGTGTATTTGGGTGTTGCATATGCATTGAGTGATGTTGATACAGACTGGTCAGGTGTGCATCATTGATCGATGGGATAAATTGTATTCTGTTGCGTTGAAATTGCAAAATGACAGCGATATTTACATTTTAACAATAACAATTCTTTGGTTAGATACCATGGCAGAAATGTACAAAGCGTCCAGCCCAGTACTGAATACCGTCCGTTGGGAAGTACTGTGAAATTATTAATTATCACTGGGGTTTTAATATCACTCTTCTGATAATCTGCGCATATTAACTGGGTGTTTTTTTTTATCATGTTTTATTTATGCAGTTGAGGTATTGCTTAGTTACCCATATTTCCACATTACGGGCAAGGTTGTAACACTTTCGAAAATGTTTAACTGGTTTTCGCAAATAAGTATTTGCTTAGCTATACAAAGCTATCTTTACATGATAGATAAACACCAACATCGACGCACGTTTTTTTGATCGTTCAAATATGTTATGATACAAACAATACAGAAATGAGAAACTCAACCGGAAAACGTTCTGTCACAAATAAATTTTCTGACGGCTAGTGTCAAACAAAGGGAAAATGATACAAATGCTGGAATATTTGCCACAACCCCGAGTGCAAAGGGTCTTGTACTCAAGACAACGATAACGTTGATTGATTGATTTGTCGTAGACATGTTTGACAAATGAGGACCGTTTAGCCGTTTCCGTGAAACGTTAAACGGAAACGTAATATGCGCCCGATGACCCCAAGCGGTGGAACCATTGAGCTTGATTCAAAGAAGCTAGCTTGGATCAGGGCGCGCCCGTGGTTTATGAGATCGAGTTAGAATTATCATTTGAATTATTTTTTATGACAAACGAATTGGAATTTGAAAAGAAAACTCGACAAGCCGGCATGCTAGTTCCCATCTAAGGTTCCACGGTACAACATAGTATCGGATGGAATTAACACGTTCGCTTAGGGAAATGACCCAGGGTTATTTATACATGGCATATCCAAGTAAATGGTGCGTTACTCTCGATGTTTACTCTAATTGGATTCAATAATTCGTCCTGTATCGTGGTGTATGTATATCACGATGTGTATTAAAAATGTACCATTTTTTGTTTGTTTCTCGACTGTAGACGTTGACCAAGAGAAGGCACTGGAATTGATTAACGCCGTGCGGGAAAGCGACATGTTGGGCGTACGTCGTTTGGTCCGCGCAGGCGCCCGGATCAATTGTCCCATGGATGGAGGATGGACTGCGTTACACCACGCCGCCGTGGGTGGCCAACTTGATATTGTCAGGTACTTGGTGATACGAGGCGCTGACAAAACGATGATGACGAATGACGCTAAGTTGGCCGTGGATCTAGTCAACGATAACTATACGGAGATTACGGAATTATTGCGCTGAGACGAAAGATGGAGTCATAGTTTTGTTAGTACATTGTATATATAAGCCAGGGCATGTTGACGAACATGAAGCATGGCGCCACCTGAGGGGTCACTGGTTGGTTACCGGACAGGAGTGTTCATCTACTTTCATTTTTTAAAGGACATGTTTTGTTAACGTTGGAATTCCTGGCTTGCCGAACTAATTCACAAACGTGTGTTCTGAATCAGAGGCTTAATAATGGATATATGGATAGGGGGAGTTAGTACAACCACGATGCACATAATGATTGGACTAATCACGCGTATAGCGATAAATTTATGTGTTTTTTACTCTAATGACAAATTTACTCAAAATTTTATCATTTTGTTAACTGAACGTTTTAGAGCTTTGCTGGACTAATCTGACTTCGCAAAGCAAGTTTATGCATCATTTTGATTGGTTCCTGTGATGTTTGTAAATTGGTTTATTTCATTGGTGAATAATAGCACGGTTACTAGATACTAGTAATGGTGATTCACTTTCTATAATGTGGAATCCCGGTTGGAATCTGAGAGTCATCGTATTCACTGTGATAATCAATTCAGTTAATTATTATAATAACAAATATTATTATTATTATTTATATATAATACAAGAAGTATTCTTATTTGAGGTTTAATCACGACACGTGTACGCTAAATTGAAAGTGGATATTCAAATTGTTAGATATTGGAAGATGATCTTTCCAACCGTATCACGTTTCATGAGATAAGCGAATGTTATGCTCGTCTTGTTTTTAAAATAAAGCTGGTGTCTAAATACGTTGTATTGATTTATGTTTCCGCACGTTTATTTTAGTATGCCAAGTATTGTACATGCTATCTGCGAAGTGGCGGTAAATAATGTGACATCTACCAAAATGGATATAGTAATTAATAACTGGCCACTTTTCACTTTTCATTGTCCCGGTGTGCGTGTCAGCGAACGTATATACACGATGAGGGTGGAGTCCCTGTCACGTGGGTAGGTTAAATCACGGCGAAGCCCCTATAGCGAGAACAACGCGAGAAGTGCGTGCTAGCTCTAGGGGCTTTCGGCGTGTGTTCACAAGCTCCCGTGGTCTCCGCTACTGTTGTTGGTATGTTTGATCTCAGAAGTGGTCTGAGGTTTGATGCGTGGACAAATCCTGTTCGAAAGTTACGATATCGTAAAAAAAAACTTTCCCCGGGTTTTATACTGATAGTATGCGGGTGGCATTACTTGGGAGGGGTGTAGTAGTCTCGCCATTGAACGCAATAATTTTATTACGAAGATCGGATGTATAATGAAAAGATATTTCAGTATATTTGAGGTTTACTGGTAACACATTCAAAATGACAGCGTCTACTTCGTATCGGTCAGAATAATCGTCGATACTTGCTGGAATGCGATCTCCATCGTATACAAGCCTACTAGTCCGATGCGTATATCACATTCAGTTCAGTACGGTTTTATTGCCTCTCGTTACTGGTGTAAAACATACGCCTAACCAATAGTGCCTGGCATCTAATGATGTACGAGATGTACAGAACTATTAATACTCGACTCGCAAGTTCATACAAACTTGATTTAATAGTATAAGTGGAAAGTTAGCGAACATTCTAAAGAAAAAGTAATACGTCGTGTTTGCACAAGAGGTTTAAACCTCACATCATGACGTGTCAAATATCTGTCGATGTTGATATTGATGTTGATAACTAAATGCAACTCGGTAAACACGTTTGTAACTTGTGCTTATTATTCCGCTAATTTGCGTATTAATTACCCAATCACGTTGTCTTGCTTTTGTGTACATTTAATTCAAATGAAATAAGATGTAATAGTCGTTTGATGTCTAGTAACAGTTTGAAAAGAAGTCGCAAATTTGCTAATTCAATAACATCCAAAACGATCTGCTCGAATGAAATGAAACATAAAACAAGGACTGCTTGGTCGATTTGGATCCGAATCCAATCTGTACACAATCTAGGTCAAATATACAAGCATATCTACCAACTTTTAATCGCTTTTCACAATTTTGCACGCTGTTTTTTCAACATTTTACGGTCAGGGTCAGCTTATGTGACTATCTGCAACTATAGGATGCTTTCATCTGGCTTTTATTCATTTTTTTCGACTTTACAATTGCAGAGTTCGATAAGCCAACAAATATAGGTCAAATATAGACATACATCTACCGACTTTGCAATCGTTTTACACAACTTTGCACGGTAAGTTAACAGCATAAAGCCGCTATGTTCAGACAGCATACACAATTTGTTCTTTGCATTACAACTTTCCCCACAAACTGAATGTCTCAAAACACTCAATTTATACATACTAAACTTACTTCTATGGTGTAAGTATCTCAGTGTTTGTATTTGAACATTGAATTGTTCAAACAGGTTGAATCGTTCCAATTATTCAAAAGAATTTATATAGCGCCAAAACCCAATACGGAGTACTGTTTAGTGCCGTTGTACAATTAAATGTTAAACGCTCTATTGAACATGATTTTTCAGACTTTTTCTGAAATTTGTGATTTTTGATGCAAGTCGTTCACAGACGAGTGCTGTCCGCGAAAAAGTACTTCCTCCAATAAATGCAAGTAGTGTGTAACATTCATTTAGCTGAACGAGAGAAGAACAAGGATTGGATGTATGGATTCGGATAAAAAAAAACTTGATGAAAGGTTATTGAGAACTTTGTCGGTAATGCATACAATTCTGAAATTAATTCTATGAACAACTTCGAGGACAGTGTAAATCTTGGATGATCGGTGTGATATGGTCACGTTTATGATTACTTTTAAATAAGTCTGGCAGTGCATTCTGCATTTTATGTTGAAGTGGTTTAAATATGCTCATTTGGTAGACAACACAAAAGTGCATTACCAAAGTCTAGTTTGGTAAAAATTAGTGCATGTTTCTGACAAGTGAGTTTGTTTAGAAAATGGCGTACGTGAACGATTCTCATGACATTTTGGTAGAGATGTGGGTCCGGTTGCCATGGAAACATTTTTTGGGAAAGATTTTTCACCAATGAGTGAATAAACAATTCAAGACTCAATTGGTTCTTTTCTTTTCAAAAAAGAAATTAGAAGCTTATGTCAATAAGATTGTGTTTTGTTACAAAAAGATTTATAAAGTAGGGGTAAAGGTATTAGCGAAGATACATGCAAGCACATGGTGTTGCTGTGGAGGGGGGGGGGGGTTGTGGTTGAGAATTGAATTCTAAGTCAATTGAATGTGTTTAACATTTTTAGCATTGTGGCGCTTAAGAAAGTAAATACATAGCACATTTTTGGAATTGTAGCTAGACTAAAATGCAAACATGTTAAAGCGAATATATAACCCCCATGAGATGACTGATATTTGTTACATAAATGCACAGTTCACAGCAAGTTCTCTGTGAGGCAACACAAGATTGATGAGTGCCATATAGAAGTTATATTCAACTCAACTCAAGATAACGGAATTATAAATATGCAAAACACTCTGCATTTGATCAACTTTAAGATGAGAAGGGGGGGTGGAGAATAAAAACACAGATTTACATTCTCTTCAACAAAAGCATTTTGTTTAATTTGCCAAATTTTCAAGTACGGTACATTTTTTTTTTTTTATATACATTTTCTGTGTTATCATAAACACTAGTCTTCGGTCAATCATTGATAGGTTTTAAAAACACTCAATGTTTTCAAAATAGTTCTCTGTATATTTACATTAGCACCAGTGTGGACTGGAAGTGTGGAACTGCAGTGTTTACTGTAGAAACCAACCAATTTGTAAATCAGTGCAGGGCAAAGAATGTAAAAACAGTTGCACATATTGACCTGTTGTACAACGATCAGTGTTTTTTTCTTCTTATTTTTTTATGGATGTGTGTACATATTGACTAGACAGTGGGGTAACCACCAGGCATATATCACATGGGAGAAGGTGTTTTAAAATCAATTACGCTAAGAACTGGAAATATATAGACAAAATTGACACCGTTAATTACGTAACATATATCACCACCACTTACATAATGACAAATATATGTACTGTACCACAAAATACTACTACCGTAAAATCTGTATTAGAAGCCGCATCCATAATAGAAGTCGCACCCATTCTTTTTGAACAATTGAGAACCAAAAATTCACCATTTCTCATATGTGTAGACGCTCTAATAGAAGCCGCATCCTCTCTGTTGCATTGTACCATTTTAATAGAAGCCGCGGTTTCTAATACAGATTTTACAGTATGATACAAAAAAACACAATGTAACCGTGACAGAGAATGTTATAAGGCAGTTTCCTATGCTATAAATTTATTTAAATTAACAGCATCAATTTTACAATTGAGATAAATTTAGCAGCAACAGTTTGGAAAATAATATAACAAATTGAACGGTAAAAATAATTGATTTCAGTTAAACTACTATAGCTTATATCTAGTAGAAACTGGTACTGGCTTTAAAACGCAACAGATTAACCAATTTTGGCAAAAAAAAGTTATTCTCGAATCAAATATTTCTCTATAATATTTCTCTTTAAAATAATCAATAATTTTTAATAGTTTAAGTATATAAAACAAAAGTAGCTACCTGACAGAAAAAAAGGGTACTATAAATTTAACCCTACCCTGGTCTGTGTAAATAAAGATTGCACTACAGAAAGACAAATACTCTGTCAGTACGACAAGAAAATATAATTTTAAAGTGTGTCACTAATCAAATAACTCTTTGATAATTCTCCAGTGTGTATCAGATACAGACAAGTTTGGAATAGTAAACAAATTTGAATTAAAACCTTAAATGAAGCTGTCAATCATAAATGAAATAAGTTTTGGAGTTCAGGATCCACTGTACAAACTAACAGGATACAAAGAAGTCAGTCATATTGTTACATTGATATATGCTGGGCATCTGGAAAATAGCTCCAGCAATAACGATTGACAATGAGAAGACAGAACCAATTATCATAATTGGCGTGTATGTACAGAAAGCATTTATATACTGGTAAAATACAATTGATATGTCATTCCCAAAAATATTTACAAATTTGCACCAAGGGTATAGAAATACTTAACAACAATGTAAATAAAACATAAATAGTACCAGTGAGAAGACTCCTCCAAAAGCATATTATGGGCGGCACATGGCTGCCATGACTGTCAACATGTTTATTAAGCTACAACAAGAAGTAGCACGAAGACTAAGTGAGGAGAGACCCTGCCACATGGCAATATAATTTGTAAATAGAACCATCATCTTACATGAAAAAAGTTAAAAGTTTTCAAGAGCTATATCTAAAGTCTAAAAAATGTACACCATCAAACATGAACATCAGTGTGCATTATTACAATTTGTGGTCTGACCTCACAGTCAATACCCTCCAAAAAGTTCATTGTTACATGTGTTTTTTTTTCTACTAGTAAATCACACTCGCTCAGCTGCACTTGTATAGATAAGTCAACTATCGTGTACTGTGCATCACGCTGCGACAGGTTCAATAAGTAACATGTACAATTAGTGCCGCTACAAATACCCCCTACCGAGTGGAAAACCAATCAGTGGAATTTTATGCGCAAATATGATTTAAATACGCACGACAGACTTCAGCTGCAGTGCAAGCTATATCACAGTATATCCTGGTGATTTGATGGAGCGGTTTTAATGGGTATCCATAAAGCCGCTTTCTTCAAACAGGTTTGCAATTACAGAATGGTTTTAATAGTGCAATGAAGAGGAAATCAAAGGATAAAACATGTGACATCAATCAGAGCGAAATATGTCCATGTCTCATACATATACAAAC